CACAAACATGAAAAAGATCACTCGAAAATAAAATTTATATGTTGAAAAAAACTAGGTTAATCAAAACTTTTGTAAATATCGATAAAAAACAACTATAGGCCCAGCTAAAGCTGGAGGTAGGTGTTTGATATTTAATGAATTTATTCATTTTTAATGGATTATTTCGTTGCCTCCAGACCAAGTGTGCCGGAGACGCATAGAAAATTAAATTCATTATGAACTGAACCTAAATTCACAATTTCTAATTTTGACCATTCTGTGAACAAAGTTCTTTATGGGAAGAAGTCTAGTACCCGTTTGTAATACCCTTGCTTATCGCAAGACTAACTAAACAAAACTTGAACATAGCCAACAGTCAGTTAGAAAAGAGTCAATGACCGCAAGGAAACAGAAAAAACTGCCTTGTTTTTTTTTAAAGTTCAACTTTCGAAATTCAAAGAAAAAATATATATAGACTTGAAGCTCTTTGAATTTCTAGAACATGGTTTGGTTGGCCCTTTTTTGATAGAATAAACCCACATTGAGAACAGAAAACTAAATTCCACTTTTGAAACTAGAAATCGATCAAGTTTTTTGTGACCTTCACACTCTAGCTGGTGGGTAGTGGATTTTGCCTTCCTTTTAACAAAGGAAATGAACTGAACTTAAAAAGTAATCAAAGAGGTCAAACCGCGAAAAGATAAAAATTGAGCCTGAGCAAATCAAGACTTTTCCTAACAAAAATACGAAAAAAATATCACCACTGATATAAGAGTCTGAACTACGTTCCTACACTCTTCACCACGCTCAAAAAAAATTCAAAGCCCACCGCAGAAAACTTTTTCAATGATCACACGACGTAGCATGAGATGACTAAGCCATTACTTCAACTTGAAAAAAAAACATGATGTGACTTTTTGATAATAACTCAATTTGAAGAAACTGGATCAATAGGTGAAGTTTCTTTTCACCTGACAAAACTGAAACTCATTTTCGAAATTATCAGTCAATCACGTTTTTTTTGAATTCTTATCCTTTTTCAGTTAAATAGTTGTTTGCCTACATTTTAGCAAAGAAAACGAACTGAATTTTAACACAATTCATTTGCGATACAACACAAACATGAAAAAGATCACTCGAAAAAAATTTAAATGTTGAAAAAAACTAGGTGAATCAAAACTTTTGTAAATATCGATAAAAAACAACTATAGGCCCAGCTAAAGCTGGAGGTAGGTGTTTGATATTTAATGAATTTATTCATTTTTAATGGATTATTTCGTTGCCTCCAGACCAAGTGTGCCGGAGACGCATAGAAAATTAAATTCATTATGAACTGAACCTAAATTCACAATTTCTAATTTTGACCATTCTGTGAACAAAGTTATTTATGGGAAGAAGTCTAGTACCCGTTTGTAATACCCTTGCTTATCGCAAGACTAACTAAACAAAACTTGAACATAGCCAACAGTCAGTTAGAAAAGAGTCAATGACCGCAAGGAAACAGAAAAACCTGCCTTGTTTTTTTTTAAAGTTAAACTTTCGAAATTCAAAGAAAAAATATATATAGACTTGAAGCTCTTTGAATTTCTAGAACATGGTTTGATTGGCCCTTTTTTGATAGAATAAACCCACATTGAGAACAGAAAACTAAATTCCACTTTCGAAACTAGAAATCGATCAAGTTTTTTGTGACCTTCACACTTTAGCTGGTGGGTAGTGGATTTTGCCTTCCTTTTAACAAAGGAAACGAACTGAACTTGAAAAGTAATCAAAGAGGTCAAACCGCGAAAAGATAAAAATTGAGCCTGAGCAAATCAAGACTTTTCCTAACAAAAATACGAAAAAAAAATCACCACTGATATAAGAGTCTGAACTACGTTCCTACACTCTTCACCACGCTCAAAAAAAATTCAAAGCCCACCGCAGAAAACTTTTAAAAACTTTTTCAATGATCACACGACGTAGCATGAGATGACTAAGCCAGTACTTTAACTTGAAAAAAAAACATGATGTGACTTTTTGATAATAACTCAATTTGAAGAAACTGGATCAACTCATTTTCGAAATTATCAGTCAATCACGTTTTTTTTGAATTCTTATCCTTTTTCAGTTAAATAGTTGTTTGCCTACCTTTTAGCAAAGAAAACGAATTGAATTTTAACGCAGTTCATTTGCGATACAACACAAACATAAAAAAGATCACTCAAAAAAAATTGAAAGGTTGAAAAAAACTAGGTGAATCAAAACTTTCGTAAGTCTCGATAAAAACAACTATGGGCCCGGGGGTAGTTGTTTGATATTTAATGAATTTACTATGCTGGTGCGGCAAGAAAACTATGATTTCAAAATTTGGACTTTGCCCAAAACCTAAGTTGTTTCTCGACTAAAATAAATAAGAGTAAACAATTTTGAGTTAATCAATTTTTCCCAAGGAGTAAACACTTCTCTTACAAAAAAAATAATGAGTCGCCGCTTCTGCGGGAACCATTATCGCAACCGGTTTTTTTCATTAAAAAATTTTTCCATCTGAGATTTGTCGTGTAAATTTTAAGAAAATTCAAGTTCTAGAAAATGGTTGAGATCTCTAAAAACGGTCAAAAGACATTCAAAAATCCAAAACTTTGCTCTGCAAAAAGCAGTTTGTGGCCGTTCAAAGACTATTTCCAAAACTGAGCTACTCGATTGAATATCACCTGAGAATTGGCACGGTAGTTTTGCGTAAAGTCAAAAAGTTTTCAAAAACCTGTCAAAGTTTCAAAGCTTCGACTTGCTTGAAGACTCTACCATTTCTTTCAACCAAGCTTGGCATAGACAGTTATAAAAAAGGGCTTTCAACGCCTGTTGTTTCGATTAAACCTATGATATTAGATTTGGCAGGATAGTTAGCGAGAAAAGTCCAAAAAACGGTCACTAAATCAAAAAAATTTCCGAGAATCATAGCTTTTTTAAGAAAAAGCAGGGCGTAGCCGCTTATGCAGAAAGGATTCACCCAACCTGTAAATTCGATTGAACCTAAAATCTCAGGAAAAGTCAAAAACTTTTTTAAAAAAATAGCCAAAAAATAAGCCATAACCAAAAAATAGGCCGAAATAATTTGGGCCGAAGAATCTTTTTTAGCAAAACAAAAAAAAATAAGGAAATACAAAATCAAGAAAGTAAAAGTACAAATTGCAGGAATTAAAATCAAACACTAATAGCAACACGAGAAGAAAATATAAAGAAAACGATTCCGCGCAGCAAAAAAAAACGATTCCAAGATGCGACAACTAAGCCGACAACATAAGCAGACAAATAATTGGCTGACATTTTTATTTGAAAAAGAATATTTAGTTTGAAAAAAAACAGGTCCTCGTCAGATTCACACCTAGGACCTCTGCCGACCGAGGCATATTGTTACTTCCCGGCTAAGTCGACCAGGAACGCATAGAAGTTTGAATTCATTATGAACCAAGATACAGGTGATTCAAGTGATTCTGTTAAACAAGTTATGAACTCGAAAAAAAGTCTATAATCCAGTTTGATAATGCTTGCTAAAAGCAAGCGTAATAAGAAAAATTGTAGGTCAAACCGCGAATAATCAAATTTGGGAGTGAACAATTCAAAACTTTTTTTCAAAAATCTATAAAGCTCTATAAAGTACAATAAGAAACAGTTGAAATAAGCCTCGAATGAATAAAATTCAGCTACGTCTCGGACTCCATCTGTGACCTACAGATTATGAGTCTCACACACTTACTACTCAGCCAGCGACGCTAAATAGATTACAAACACTGGCCACAAATAAAGCAGAGAACAGATCGTTCCAATGCTACAGATCATAATTATAGCTAAATTTCCACCAAATAAGTGAACCCTTTTAATGAACACTTATATTTGCTAGGTAGGTTAGAAAAAAGCATACTTATATACTACGCTTCGCAAGATGGATAGTGTAATAAACAGGCAAATTTACGACCAAATCAAAAGAAATTTCAATCTGAATTATTCGGACAAGCATTAAAGATGTACAACACAAGATGCCAAAAATGCTACTACTGATTACCATTTCGGCCATTCTGTGAAAAAAATTGGCCCACAGGAAAGACTAGGACCCAGTTTCAAATCACTCGCTTATCGCAATAGTAAAAACAGCTAGCAGACAATTGTAAATGTGTCAATGAATGCAAGGAAACTGAAACATATGACCAACGGAAAACGATGGCCTAAAAAACTATTTGAATTTTAAAAGCAATTTAACATTGACACTTTTTTGATAAAATTAATCCAAAATGAGAAAATTGGGCCAATATGTAACTGTTTGATTCCGCTGGGAATTCTCAGTCCAGTTTTTGAAACTCGAAGTTTTCCGTGACTTTACACTTTTGTAGTTCAACAGTCGAGTTTGCCTTCTTTCTATAGAGGCGAAGCTGCACTTCGCAAACATTAGCGAGAAAACTACAAAAACGCAGCTCTATAAAGTAAAGTACGAAAAAGTAGAAGTAAACTTTTGCTACGCTTCGGATTCGAACCAGCGACCTTGAGGTTTAGAGGATCACTTCCTTCCCGCTCAGCCACTGGCGCTTAACGAGCGGCAAACATTAGCCACAAATAAAGCATAGACACATAAAATGAAACATCCAATGCTACAGATCGTGATTATAGCAAACAGGCCACCATAGGAGCACGTTTATGAGCGAAATAGACTGGAAAAATGTAGGTTCATGCTAATACACTACGCTCGCTAGTTTGAACAAAGGAAACGAATTGAACTTTGAAATAAATCAAAAGTCAAACAGCGAACAACCCAAAATTGAGCGTGAACAAACTTCAAAAAATTTTCCAAGAACTTGGTAGTCTCAAGAATGGGTGTTACCATCAAGCCAAATGAGCAGAACGATTCGCTTATTTTAAATTTATAATGAAGCAAGTTCAGCATGTTTACTATTTTCCCATGTGAACACATTTGTTTATGAGGAAACAGCCTAATGCCCCAAAAACTCAATATCAACGGCCTGCAAAAAACTAGCTTCTTTTCTGCTCACCTGTGGATTAGATACAACAGCCTTTTCTCCAACAGAGTCTATTCTTGCTTTGTCCTCCTGCTCGGTGACTGTGCTGCCATTCTGCGCAAAGCACACCACTTCGGCGTTTTCCACCTGAAAAAAAAGAACATCAGATTTTCTTCCCAATGAGCTCATCGATTTTTAACAATTTCATTGACTTACATTACAAATACAACTAGATTCAGGAGTAGCTGACTGCAGCGCAAGTAGCACAGAATGTTCCGACCACATTCATGAACACCAAAAAAAAACATTTTTTTTCCGCAAAATTGAGCCGTTTTTGCTCTTGGCTTGAGAGGAAAAACTAAAGCTTTCAACTGAGTAAATTAATCACAGCCAACCTAGTTTTCTTCAAATTATGAACAAAATAAATAAACAAGAAAAAACAAGGATAGCTGGTTACTGTGCAAATAGCACAGAATGTTCCGACCATAGTCTTAACAGAAAACAATTTTTTTCAATATTAGTGTCGTTTTTTCTGAGTGGTGTAATACAAAGATCTGATCAAAAAAATTACGCACATTCGACAGTCAGAGTCAAATAGGCCAATCGGAAAATAACTTTTGTAGAAAAAGACAAAAGAAAAACGAAAAAAATCGTAAAAATTTGTATTAAGTTTCACAAAATTTTTCTCATATTTATGCAGAATTTTTAAAAATTATTGAAAACTTTGATGCCCGAAATGGCGCTTAAAACCCCAAAAACTAACTTTGCTCGAGTACAAATAAGTTTTCACGGATTAAATCAAGCTTAAATAAGGTATTGTTAGCCTGCACGATGACCTCAGTAGCTGGAAATTGGACCAAAAATCTAAAACTTCAAACCGATTTTTTCGACACAGAAAGAAAATTTTTATTGTCGTTCAAATCAAGGCTGAAAGGGCTTTAATATGATATATAATTCGATCTAATCCCATTATTATTTGTGGTACAAGATGTAGCGTGGAAAACAAAAAAAAACTAAAACACCCGAATTCAAAGTTCCTCCGAATTTTTTAAATGGTCGGAACAATAAGATATCGAAACTGTTAGGTTTTTTTCACCCGGAGACAGGGGCGGATTTAGCGGAAAGGGGGCAGATACACCCCAGGGATGCGACCCCTTTGGTACATTTTAGGATATCCAATCTTGGCGGACAACATCAAAATTTTTCTAAAGGCGCCACTATATAATGTTGAGGGGGGAGCGCGGCGCGTGCCGATAAGATCCAATTTTTTTGTCCACATTTTCCAAAAATTGCCTAAAAACGCCCTTTTTTGGCTTGTTTTTTTTAAAAAAACTCGCCTACGGCGCCGAAATTTCTTTAAATTGGGGTCTTTTTAGTGATTTGAGAGAGCTCAGAAAATGTATGTGGTCGACCTAAAAGAGGTAGCTTAAATTTTTTGAAAATCCTCAATAACCCCCCCTTCCCCTGAGATAAAGTTCCTTTCATCTTTCAGTGATCGGAACAATATTTATACTTGCTCCGATGACACATCATCCGCTTGTAATAGTATTTGCAATGACACAACGTCCGCTGGGCTGGTATTACAGTGTAACTAACCTGTGTCTCCGTTCCACTGAGTTGCGTCTCTCGAGTTTTGTTATCAGAACTGGGCACGGTGCTGTTATTTTCCAGAAGATAGAACATCTCAAACAATTGGATAAGTTTCTGGTCCATCCGCCTCAGGGCCTCTGTATCGGCTTCAATTCTGGACTTCAGTTGCGACTCGTTCTCGACTCCTAACTCTTCAGCTAGCTTGCAGTTTAGAAGCATTGCATCCGATTTTAGAAGATCCAGGTCCTAGAAAATTTCAGCCTAGAGCAACAAATAAAAAAAACAAGCTCTTCTGTAAAGAGTTCGGAATTTCACTATCAAAACTCAGAGACCAAGATGAATAGTTGCAGGTAAGCCTATCAAATCACAACCTGTTTGGTTCGGCGGATAACAACATCACATACGCTGGAGAAAATTATGGTCTAGGAGCACTTCTGCGGTTGCATCCCAGTTAAATGCCATCCATACAAAACTCTTCAAATTCACGAATGAATTAGATCACGCAATATTTTTTAGATCTCAAAAGAAAGAAAGCTAAGATCATCTGCTCTTTACGTTGTACATTTGAACCAATGCGTTTATACATCCCGTCCTCACAGTTTAGTTGACTTCCCTCTTGGTTACCTCTTTATTGGCAGCTGCTGACTTCTTTTGTCTAATGTTGGCAAATTTCTGAGCATAAAATGTATGTCTCTGAGTTTCTCTCTCAATTTGGGACAGCAGCTGAGCTCTGAAAAAGGCGAACATCATGTTAACAAATCAGCTTTGTCTAGCTAAAGATCAAACATTTCTTGCGTAAGAATATTAATTGATCGGATTGAAAAGTTTTGATTTCGAATATACGAAAATATAGTCAACATTATTTTTCAGAATATTCAAAAACCAAAAACTATTTTTAAAAAGTTATTATCCAAAAAAAACTAGGATAGACCGTTGCTGCGAAGATTAAGAAAAAAGAATTAGGAAAAAATGTATTTTTGCTCCATTTCGCCTGAATGTCCTTATTATTTTTTAATCCTTTAAAACTTTTTTCCGAATACTTTTGTATTAAAGCAAACTAGCTAAAAAAATTCAAGAGTGAGTGGTAATAAAGTTTTAATAGCGATCGATTTACTTAAAATCACCAGCGGATTTAGAGGGGGGACGCTTGAAATCACCAACGGTCTATCCTAGTTTTTTTTGCTGACCGACGCAGAAAATTTGGTCGAAATGGGGTCTTTATAGTGATTTGGTAGAGGCCAGAAAATCACATTGGCCGACCTATAAAAGCTCGAAAATTTCGAAAATCTACCCCCCCTCGAGAAAATACTAGATCCACCCCTGCTTAAAATAATGCAAAATGGGTGAATCATTTGAAAGCAACAAAACAGAATTTTGACAGCCAGATCAGACCTTGAGTAATCCACAGTGCCTCTCTTAAAAAGTTAACTGAAAAGTTTTGACTTACCTTTGCCAATCAAGTGAGTATATACGTTCCATCAGCTCCTGGCTACTCAATTGCGCATCATCACTTTGACAGCTCTTTTTAATCGCCATAGAAGTCTCAGTCCCCGAATTATTTTGCATGAAATCATTTTCAGCTCCCGCTGGAAAATTATTTTGAGCGGACATAACCTGGAAGTTGTTCCTGTTCAAGCTCTGGGTGGCATTCGAGGTCTTTCCAACTTGCTCGTTTTGCCTCAACATTGGCAGACTCCGGAACAACCTGCTAGTATCCTGACTTAATTTTCCACTCTCAAGCAGAGTCTTAATTTTGTTCTTACTCTGTTGTTCTGATCCATTTTTACTTTTCGCTGCATGCTGATCCAGACTGACTTTCACTTTTGTAGAACCATTTGACCCCATAGAAGACTTATTAGCACCAAGTTTGTCATCTGACAAAACTTTGCTATGCAGCTCTTCGTTGGATACCTCGTGTAGCTGACTCGGACCTTGAGCAGATACGTCATGATCCGTGAGAGGAATTCGCCTGGACACAGCTCCTTTTTGAATGTTGAATGATGTTTTTGAAACCTGAGCAGAAATGATGTTGTTCGCGCTGATTTGAAGAGGAGATGTAAGTTTAACATTGCCGGGCGATTGAGCGCAATTCAATAGGCTAAAACAAATAAATGCGTCATCACCCATTTTTTAGCATAAATTCTTTCAGTCCGATTAATTATCAAATCACGTTTGTTACACATATGCGTTACACATATACAACGCAGAGCATCGCGCCACTTGCGAACAAAAACTAAACAGGATCCTACTTGCAATTCTTCAAAAACGTTAAAACAAATTTGCAGTAGCTGCCACCGAAAAAGAAAGATATTTTCCCACTGCATAAACATCCAGAAACAATACATTAAAGACATGAAGACGAATATTGCTTCGCAACCTTGCGATACAAAAGTATAGGATTAAAACATAATTACGCTCAAAAACTAGCAAAGAGGACTTCGTTGTTACTGTTGAAAAAAAATTGTCTAAATTTAAAAGGCCAGTGTGGGGTTGATTTTAGCCAGAGTCTTATCGATCTCATGGGGCCATAATCTGATCTCAAGTGGTAACAAAGCCGAAAACGCCTCAGCAGAAACTTTTCTAGCCAAAAAAAGCAAAGAAAATTTTAACACATCAAGTTGATAAAATTACAACCATAAAACAAAATAAATTTTGAATAGAACGGGTATTTAAGATGCTAGCACGCTCAAAATAAGTATGTTTGACTATTTCTTACAGAGAGGACGAGGATAAGAAAAATATGAAGCTAGGTATTTCTTTTTAAGAAATTATTTTAAGACCGTCCATAAGACTAGATACAAGCTAAGGGCAAATTTTAGAATGAATTTTTGAGAAAACAAATCAGCCAAGCTAAAAAACCTCGATGCTAAAAAACCTCGATGCTAAAAAACCTTATAGCCTTTTCTTATACAATTATCTATATTTGCGAAATTTATATTTGGTGTCAGAAAAATTTGGGAGTATTCGCATACGCAAATCAGCTCCCCACGACCCTTTTTTTAATTGAACCTAAAATCTCAGATAGGGCAGGGCCGTTTTCGAGAATAATCAAAACTTTAAAAAAACGGTCGAAAAATCAAAAATTTGGGTTTTGCGAGGGCGAAAACTTTATGCGTGGCCGCTAATGCATGTGGAGCTGCCCATTACCCATTATCTCCATTGAACCCACAATATCAGATATGAGAGGTTAGTTTCGCGAAAACGATTCACAAAACGGCAGAAAATAATAACTTGACTACTCCGAGGGTCCGAAATTTATGTGTGAAAAAATTTATGCCATAGAAGCTCAAGAAGACACTTTTTCGAAACCGTTCTGTTCATTGAAAACAAAAACTCGTTCTATTCGTTTTCTGTTCTGTTCATTTTCGAAACCGTTCTGTTCATTGAAAACAAGATTATTTTTCGAGAAAACGAAAAAAAAAATCAAAAAAGGGGTCAAATATTCCCCCAGACTTTTGTGAAGGCCGTAGACAGAGGGGTCAAGCAAAAAAAAAGAAATTCTAGAGGATTATACAAGCACACAGGGGAGTAGGCGGTCTTTCAATTGATACCCTTTTTGAACATCAGTAGAAGTTTCTGAGAAAAACTAAAATTTTTCCAATACTTTTGGAAATATTTTTCCATAATAAAAAAAGTCAACAAACCGATTGGTAAACATACAACCATCAAAAAAGTGCGGAATGGGGTGTTTAAGTTATGTTTCCCTTGAAACGATCCAAAAATTAGGTCAAAAAGCCAATATAAGTAGGTCGAAATAATTTGGACCGAGGAATTCTTTTAACCGAAACAAAAAATTAACTAAGAAGGAAATACAAAGTCAGGACAAGTTAAACTACAAATTAGTAGAAAACCAACACTGAAAAAAAATTTTAAGAAAATGCGCACAGCGAAAAAAAATCCATTTCAAGATGTGACAATTTAGCCGACAACAGATAAGCAGACAAATAATCGGCCGACAATTTTATTTGAAATAATATTTCCCGTTTGAAAAAAAAACAGGTCCTGGTCAGATTCCAGTCCAGGACCTTTGCCGTCCCAGGCATAATTGTTACCTCCAGAATAAATTGGACGGTAAATTTTTAAAACTCAAACAAAAACACTAGAACGCTATGAATTATAAATTGCTGCTCTATGAGTCATTTTACACAGGTGAAGCGGCACACAGAGGACTACCAATGAGGACTCCGAATGAAATTTTTTGTTCCTTCCTGGGGTCCTTTTGCGCATTCAAAACTTTGGAACCGACGTTTTATTGATCTCAAAAAATAATTGGACATTTTTAGCAAGCACAATATTAGAAAAATATGCGGACAAAATTAAAGCCGACAGCCAATAACCTAAACATCAATCAAAATTTTTCTGCATATCATTTTGGAAAAAAAAACATTTACTGACAAAATAGTATCCACGACTGCCAGATAGTGATTGCAAATTTCGGAAACTAAACGGAGAGCTTAAACCAAAAACATAAAGCCGAAAAAGCATCAGCAAAAAGTAATACCGACATTTCATAACTATACATACAAGATCTATCAAAATGAATGAAGACAGTTTTGAAAAAAAAAACATGTCAAGACTATAGAAATCAAACTAAGCATTGGAAGAAATATTACCAAACGGTAACAAAGACGAAAATACCCGAGAAGAAACCCTTCATGCCCAAAAACTTCAAATAAACTAAGCTATTAAAAAAACATATGTCACCCTTCCCCTCAGAACACACACACACACAAACAATTCATATTTCATCGTTTGAGTTAGGTCACCAAACGATGCAATAGAGGGCCACTAAGTCGTTATAAACTAAGCCAAAAAACTTTTAAAAAAATGAATTCGAGTTGGTAAAATTACAAGCAACATAAAAAATCAAACTCCGATTAGGCTACATATTTAAAAAGCTAACATGCTCAAAAATTGTCTGTTGCAACAGAACGTTTCAGTAGCTGGATGACTTCATGGTCCAAGATTTGAGACCTATAAACAAAGTTATTTATGGGAAAAAACTGTAGCACGAACTGCAATACGCAAGGGTAATATAAAAGTTGACACTAAAACACGGACAAAGATTTGGCAGAAACATTGAGGACAACAAAAAAAGTTGAAAAAACTTTCACAATAGTTTCAGAACGCTCATTTCAAATACCACAATTGATCATTTGTGGCATAAAACCAAAAAAAAATCACAAAAAATTAACTGAAGCAAGCGGTCCAAATAGAAAATAACGCATTTTCAATGAAAAATAATTATTTGCTTAGCATTATTTGTTCGTTTGCAGTAGTAAATAACTTATGAAACTTATGTATATGTTTATGTACATGACAAAACGCACACCCAGATTTATTTGGTTTTCTAGCTTGTCTAGATTTTCTTCAGAACGACCATTTCAAATCATGCATAGATAGTGTAAATGGATTAACTCAAGGGCAGTGAGTAAAAGAATTCTGGTTCGTAGAAAAATTTCATCTGCTATGCATTCGATTATTTGGATTGCACTATCCATCTTCTGTAACACTAAGTTAAATATTTTTCAAAAGTTGCACCTGCATCTATGTTAACACCGAAAACTTGATGAATTCAAATATTTCACCTGGTATCTTCCAGCCGGCAGTTTGGTTTTCTTTGAAGTTCTTTTTTGATGGAGCAGAAAAAATCATGAACTGAGTTTTGTGTATATTTATAATTCATTGATTTGAATGAAAATATGAGATTACTCTGTTGAAAATGGCTTCAATGTTTTGTGTTGCGGATATCGGATTTGAATGGAAAATTAGCAGTGTTGTATCACCGGCATACTGTACAAGAGTAAATTACTTATCCAGAGTTTCTAGCATATCAATAACACAAAATTTAAACAGCAAAGATCCTAGTACAGTAGCCTCCGGGACACCATGAGCCAATCTGAATATGCGCCACTTACCATTAACAATTACTTGCTGATGTCTGTTTTCTAGAAAAGAATTTACAAGATCAGTGGCTGGTGGTTCAAAACCAAGATTTCTCAATTTTTGTCCCAAGTGAATCGAATGCTTTCGATAGATCTAAAAATTCCCCTGTTACTACATTATGCTTATCAGGCTGAAATCTGACTTTTTTCTGTTGTGTATAGAAGAGAACATTGGTCGAATAACCAAGTCTAAATCCGAGCAGTTTCGGATATTGTTATCAAACAACAATTAAAATATTTGAGCTGAAAACATTTTTGAAATAATTTGGAGACAGTCGGTGTAATAAAAACTGGACGGTAGTTGATTGGATTGGTTATAAAAGTCATTTTATCAAGCTATGTGGAAAATCAGCTTTCGAGATACATTCGTTTATTATCATTGTTAAAATATGGTTGATTATTGCACATTGTCTTTCAGGACCGCAACATTAACTTTACTGGGTCCTAAAGGCTTATAGATTAGAAGCAATAGTACTGCTCCAAACATTTCAGTGATAGTGACATCTGAAATGAAATTTTTCGGTATCAGTTCTCAGAGCAGTAAGTTTGGTGGACATTAAAAGTGGAGGATTTGTTTTTATAAACGCCTAAAGAGGTCAACTTCTTTACTAACCAATGTTCAAATTACCAAATGACTTCCGCAATTCATTTATCTGAATAGTTTGCTGCACTGTATTTCTCATGGTTTTGATGAAGCTCCCTTGCTTTTTGGGACTGCCAAGATTCTTAAAATGAAGTTTTTGTTTCTTGTATAAATACTTGAGATGATTGTTGTATCACTTCACGCACATTCATAGGTTTCATAATCTAAGCCAGTTTAAGAAGATCAATTTGCGAATCTCTTTTTCTTTTCTCTTTCAAGATTTAAAATATTTGAAACTGTTTGCTCTAGGTCGATAAGAAAGCATGAACTTTGGTTCAGGTTCTCACAAAAGCAAATTTTATTTTTTTTTCCAGTTCAATCTCATAATTCGAATTGGGACAGTTTTCTCTGTTCTTTTGACTTTACTAATACACATTTTTAGATATTCCGGGCTAGATGGTGCTTTTGCTACAAGAGTTTCCCCCCACAGAGATTTCGTTATAATAATGCTCTTATGTTGTCAACGTTTTATTTGCTAAGGACAAATTACATGGTTTATCAAATCGCTGAAAACTTTAGCTTCTGAATTGTTCAAGTAATTGATGTTCAAAACTCCTAGAAGGTTAATTCTCTGGCTTTCGAAGCTAACTACTCAATACCTTTCAATGTGTCTCCAATGAATCATTGTTTGAACTGCTTGTGTGGATTGTAAGCAAGAGCAATTTTCTGCCTTTTTGATATGATGGGACTAGATTCTACCCAGATGCCTTCAAAGAGGAAACTCAAAAATATATATATTGTTTATAATCCAAATCAAAATACATAAGACTTAAACATGATACTTGACCAACACCGAACTTTCTAAAAGTAACATAAATACGGCGGAATAAATCAGCCTATGCTAAGCTTATTTCCGCTCCCTTTGGAGGTAATAGGAGCAAAATTATTCGGTCAAACAAAATTGAGTTTTTGAAGTCGTTGAACGCACGCTAAAAAGTCTGGTTCGCGATTTGATAGAAATAATGATAAGAAAATTGCTCCGATAAATAAAGAATAGCAGTTGTGCTCTTTTTAATTTTTCGATTATATCTGATCGACGTTATTGTTCCGACCATTTGATAAATGTGGAGGATCTTTGTTTTCGGGTGTTTTAGTTTTTGCGTTGTTTTCCATGCAAAATCAGGTACCACAAAAAATCATCGGAATGGTTATATATCATATTGAAGCCCTTTCAGTCTTGATTTGAACATTAAAAAATTTCTTTGTGTCGAGAAACCCGTTTGAAATTTTGGTCCAATTTGCAGCTAATAAGGTGAGCGTGCAGGCTAACAATAGCTTATTTAAGCCATGAAAGCTAAGTTGTACTCAAGCAAAGTTAGATTTTGGGGTTTTAGACGCCATTTTGGGCATCAAATATTTCAATAATTTTGCAAAAAAAAATGTTTACCATTTTTTCTTGTTTTTGTAGCCATTTTTCCACAAAGACTGTTTTTCAATTGGCCTATTTAACTATGACTGTCCCATTTGCCTAATTTCTATTTTTTCGTTCAGATTTTTTAAGACTATGGTCGGAACATTCTGTGTTACGTGCACAGTAACCGACTATCCTTGACTCACTTGGGGTTGCATGACTTATTCTCAGGTGTCAAATTGTTTCCATCACTCGACGCTATCGTGGTGGTAGGTGACAACTGCAGATTAGCGAGACACAAGGAGGGGTCCTGGAAGAAAGGTGAAACTGTCGCTTGTGTCTGGCCTAACTCATTCACCGGCGCCGGAAGATCAGACGGCGCAGTGGAAGATGCAGCTGAGTTGATGCTAGCATTGCTGCCCGAAACTGGAAACAAAATTAACCTATCACTAATTTCAAACTGAATTTTGCCATACAAAAGCCAGACTGATACAAACTTGAACACGTGTTGGAATTTCGCTTGTGTTGCTTTCCAAATGGTCTTTGGTGCAACGGGACTCTTGGTGGCACTCTGGGTGCTGGTTGCTGCCCAGAGTATGAAACACCAACCACCGGAGAGAATGCACTTCTCGCGGAAGATAATGATTCAGAGGCCACAGATTTGCTTCCGTGTGATGGAATTGCATGAGCATCCGACAGTTTTCTCAGCTGCAAACTATTCGAGTTAACGAAGTTCGAAGGTGAATCTCTTGGAGCAAGAGTTTGAGACGAGCTGATTTTATCGACTGACACAACGGGATCTCGAAGCGATGCCGTTACGTAAGTACTGGACCCAGTAAAATCTGACAAACGCTTTGCAACCTAATCAAAAAAAGCAACCCTGTAAATTTCTATCATAGGCAATTGAAAGGAGTCATTGATTAACCAAATCACACCGAATCATGTGTTTCGGAAGGTCCCTGAGGGTGAGCTCTGGAATCATCTCCAATAGATGAATTTTGCGCGACAGTTGTGATGGTGGCTAGCGTTTTCCCACCTAGCGCACCATTTCCACTTTTCGAAGAAGAGTCTGAGTCCGACGCACTGAAGGGCCGGTTGTTATTGTACCTTTCTGTTATCAAAATCATGACTTAGTGTTAAACGGTATCAAAATTCGATTATACCCTTGCTTGTTGCAAGGGTAAAGTATATACAACGCACGGTTCCATACCTGCAATAACTCTAGGTGGAGGCTGCCGGAAAACATCAAAACCTTTTTGCTTTCCTTTTTTACGGCTACTACTAGTATGAGGCAATAAGCCTTCGGCCATAGTATATTTTCATTCAAAACGCAAGCTACATTAGACCTGAAACGTGAAATTCTTCTAGGTGATTTAATTCATTCGTTCTCATATAACATTCGCCCGGAAGTACATATCGATGGAAAATAAAGCTAAGATATAAAACGACTGGCCAGCGTCTAAACAAAGCTCTACATGCTTTTCACCGTCTCTACCAAAGTCAGTTCTTTTGGTAGTCTTTCTAACATCGGGTCGGCAAAAACGTTACTGTTCTCCAGCTTCGACCAGAACGCTCAAATTAACTAACTTACATGCAAAATTAGTGAGCTCATGGCTGGGTCTCAGTATCCAGACCACGAGGCCACTCCTAAAAACAGGGCTACTACTATTTATTATATGACTATTGTTTTTGTTCAGTAGATAAAAATCATCATCTCCATCGAAGATGGATCAACCCTGTCCCTCAACTTCTAGCTTCTCACTATCATAAAATGAATACAGATGTTAATTAAGTTCAATTCAGGACATAACCAGGAAGCTAAATGTTCGTATAAAACAGTTTAAGTTCAAGTCTCGAGACGCCTCAGGATTCCAGAATCCGGGGAAATAACACTCTTATTTCCATTCCGGAAGGCTGGACTCACTGTTCCATGTAACAGTCGCCTACTTCGGTCACATATGAGGCTAAAGAAAAATAGGCCCTATAACCACTGGCTCAAGAGTCAGGGACACTATCTCTTGTGTTTTTCTACCTCGAACGGTCGGAGCCAATTCGGTTCACTTGCGACATGAGACTAAAAACCCGTTACAGTTTAAAGGCCACTACAAAAATACCCCCAACTCTAGAAAAAAAGAACGTCCCCATACTTAGGTCTCAAAATACCCAAAACACGCGAACGCCGTTAAAAACAGGATAGGAACAATCCGTATATTCACTTTTTATTAGACAGTGGAACTTTGATCCATTTAAGATGGATCAACCTAAAACTCTCCTTACCCTAACAAAACAATCATAAAACACACTCAAGAAAAATAAATTGAGTACTCACATATCGGCACACTCGAGAATTGGGACAACTAAATTAATCAGTAACTCTAGCATTAAGTATAATAGCTTGAGAAGTTTGCTATTAATGAATTCCAGCAAGGGAAATAAGTTTTGACTCAAGAACTAAGTTTTGGAACTAGACCATTGGGACACCCCAGCTGTCCACCTTTCTAGTGAGGGTTCACTCTGCTTCACCTCGAATAAATATGTTCTTCTTTTGTAATCGCTTCTTCTCCTATTTCAGGATAGGACAGCTCTACTCGCGTTTGATTTATATCTGGAAATTGCAAATAGCAATTTACCGCTGCTTATTTCAAGTACTTTCCCGCGATTGTAAATCGGTTGTTCTGATCTTATTTTTCTGATATTTTCCGTTATCGCGAAAAACTTCAGCATGACATGTCCGATTAGAACTTTTGAAAAATTACATTTCACACCAAAAATACGTAGTTCGTATTCCTCAAGGTCAAACTTCCGAATATGACCGACTGGCACATACTCTCCGGACTCAAGATCGATTTCCTCATCGCGTGTTGCCGTCTGCCAGTGAATCCCCAGAATTCTCAGTGTAGCTCACAGCGCCAGTGGTCATTTACAGAAGTTTGCAGCAGATTTAAATTTTATCTACACCCAAAATTCACAACCATATAAAATTGTCACGCTATCGCTGAACAGCAATCAAAATTTTGTAACAGTCGCCTACTTCGGTCAAATTTGAGGCTCAAGAAGAAAAGGCCCTATAACCATTGGCTCAAGAGTCGGGACACTATCTCTCGTGTTTTTCTACCCCAAAACGGTCGGAGCCAATTCGGTTCGCTTGCGACATGAGACTAAAAACCCGTTACAGCTTAAAGGCCACTACCAAATTACCCCCCACTCTAGAAAATAAGAACGTCCCCATACTTAGGTCTCAAAATATCCAAAATACACGAATAGTTTCAGATAAGTATTGAGTTTCGAGGTAGCCGTGGTTGCCTCTTGTCTCAAATATTATCATCACCTGATGTTGCAAATTGTTGGAGCCAGCTCCCTAGCCCAAGCAATTGATTCTTTGGACGAAGACGAAAATAGAGAAGTGAGGAAAGAGGTCTACGCGTACTCTGGACTCAGTCTCAATTTCCGCAACATCTTCTACGACAAAAAGGCGATCAACTTCATCAATCTCCCACGAAACTGCAACCAGAACATTGTCCTGTGGCACGATCTAATTAACAACTCGATCACCGATCATAAGAACAACGACGGGGAACCACTCTCACCGGCAGAACTCATCTCTGTTTTGAGATCAATTCCCAATTTGTACGCTATCATCTACTGCCATAGGTGGGGAGCAAAAAATATATTCGAGCATCTGCTAGAACTGAACATCATTGACGTAACGAAACATATTCTCACAAAGACAGAGCAAATAAACAACACCATAAAAGCGAAGTACAAGAAGCTACATCAATCGCACGATCAAGAACTCCGGTCATTAGCTGTAGTTCTTCACTATTACCCAAGACTCAATCTCATCCTACGGCAGAGATCGAAACAATCGAAACCTTCAAAGAGCAGAAGGCGAGCAAAACAAAACGAGCAATAGGTCAGTACCCCTGTTTTAAACGTCGGTCTTTTCAAACCTTGTGTACTCCTCGAGTCCCTGACTCAGAGTCCAAGGGAAATATTAAGTCCATAACTGTAAGTCCATCTTTCCAAATCTTGTGTACTCCTTGAGTCCTCTGACTCAGAGTCCAAGGCAACTCTTAATACTTTCAAATCTTGTGTACTCCTCGAGTCTCTGACTCAGAGTCCAGGTAAGGAATACCATGACTAAAAACTGTAAGTCATGTAAGCAGAAAATTGGTCCGAACGATCCTGTTTATCAATGCGTAGCTTGTAGCGCTAACCTTCATCTGACCACTAGCTGCACAGGCTTAACACCAGTTGCAGTGAATGGTATTAAAGATTTAGGAACGCTGGCAATGCTGCTATGTTCGTCATGCCATGAAAACAATGTATGTGATCGGTTCATTCGGAACTTCACACAAAGCAAACTGACCGAAAAGCTGGAAGAAATAGACATAAATGAAAAATTTCTAAACATGGAAAACAGATTAACTCAAATCGTTGAGAAGAAAGTTGACGAAGCACTGAGGAACACCTGTGAGAAAGTGGAAAAGACATATAGTACTGTTCTGACAGGAAACAACAAGAATGCTGTACCAAAAGAACAGCAAAATCGAACAAATCACAACATCAATCAATGCATCCGAATACAGGGGATTGCCGAAGATCCCCAGAAATGGAAAGCTGAGAACCTTGTCCCAACAAACGAGGAAGTCAAGAAGTAACTAGAGATTGTTGATGTACAACCAAACATCGTTGAAATGAAACGCCTGGGAAAGTTCGATGAAAAGCGAACGAAACCCAGAACCCTTCTGTTGACCGTGGCCAACCATCATGAGGCAAGATTAGTTCTGGCGAAAACTTTAGAAAAAAGGACCCAATTGTCTGAAATGAAAGTCTTTCTTTCACCTGCCCTGACCAAGGAGGACGCAGCTAAAGAAAATCAAATCCTCAAAAAGCGACGTGAACTTATAACTGAAGGCGTTCCAAAAGAGAAGTTACAGATAAGAAACTTGGAGTTGTTCAATGACAACGTAAAAGTAGAGCTCAATGAAAGCGGCCCGTGACTAGGGGCCTTTCTTAGCGTACTTCAAATAAATGCCAGAAGTCTCATAAACTTCGAACGTCGAGCCAAACTCTCTACTGCTGTTACATCTGGTAATTACAGTATAATCTGAATTTGTGAAACCTGGCTAAATAATCAAATAGAATCCTCTGAATTAATGCTACATGATTACAATATCTATAGATCAGACAGAGAAAGAGTGAATGATACAAACAAACACAGCAGCAGTCTCATTGCTGTAAAGAATACATTCGCATGTGAAAAACTTACTGTAGATCTGCCGGACAGCTGTGTTTCATGCAAAATTGATATATCCGGCCAGGAGTTGATATTCTGTGTCTTTTATAACCCCCCTAAATCAAGTCCCTTCGGGTACTTGTCTGAAGATTTTAACAAAATATTGAATGCCTTTCCAACCTCGTCATCCCTTATCGTTTGTGGTGACATCAACTTCCCAGAAACAAATTGGCCGTCCCTAACAAGTGCCAGTGAAGAGGAACAGGAGGTAGTTGATGCCTTTGACACAAAACTCTTCAGACAAACAATTAACTTCTCTACATTCGGAAAAAACTTGTTGGATGTAGCCTTGCATAGAAATTGTCTCGTACATGCTCAAAGGGATGAATTCTTCGATAAACAATATGACTGTTCAGATCATCAATCAATAAACCTCAACTTCGAAATAGAACACCAAAGAAGCCAAACCGGTCATTGACAAATATAGAAGCTTCGGTAAAGCTGACTTCGAAGGTATAAACAACGCTATGGCTGATAAAGTTTTCAATCCAATATGCTACACAAATATAGATAAAACCTGCCAAGAGCTATATGATTACTTTGAAAATTTGTTAGAAATCCATGTGCCTCGAAGAACTGCGCATCGACAGCAGTTACCATCATGGATAACCCAAAGCACATCAAACCTCATGAAATAGCTTAACACCCAAAAAAAACTACTCATTTCGAAACCAACAAGCTACCGCAAACGTCAAGTTGCACTAATGGAAAATGTAGTAATCCAGTCCAGTGAAAATGATCGATTAAACTATCAGAACAAACTTCTGAGTACAAGAAACACAGATATCATTTACAAGCACCTGAAAAGTCTCAACAAATCTGCATCACTGAAGAAAAGGTGAATCTGCTCAACGAATTTTTTCACTCAGTATTCTCGCAAAAAATAGAGTTTAACATTAAAGACGTTGAATGTGACAATCCACAGATCACAAATTTCAGCATATCTCATACAACTATAACAGAAATCTTGATGACCATTGACGTTACCAAGTCTAGAGGACCCAACGGCCTGCCTCCAATTTTCTTCCAACAAACAGCCACCAACATGG